TCATTTCAAATTATGAGAAACGGTTATTTTTTTTTAATGCTTGAATAATTAATTCATCATACTTGAATAATTATAATCAATATAAGGTATACATATGTAGATGTAAATAAACATATATAGATATTTTTTTCCTAATATAAATGGCTTAAAACTCATAGGAAGAATATAAATATATCCTGAAATTGGGAACTAGCACCTTTTCATGTTTGCTATTGATTAACAAGAACAAAATTAATTATCTACAAATAACGGATATGGTATTGGAAATAATTCATTATTCAGTTTCTTTAAGGTCTGGAAAAAGTACTTTTGAGGAAAAATATTTGACAGACATAGATGAAATGAATAATCATAATTTAAATTCTGAATTATCATGTAGTAAAATATTAAAAAAAAACATGATTTTTAATTACTCAGCATAAAAAAATTTTTTCTTTTGACTAATAGGAACATTTAACTGTTCTTAAATAGAGTTAACAGACTAATGACAAAAAATAGTATGCACAAAAATACTACTCAGAAGGATTCTCTAACAAAGTAAATGTTATCCTGGCAGTTGTGATGAAGGGGTATATTTCCGACTTTAAACAATTACTCACTTTTCATAGCATTATTTTTCACATTTCAACCGTTTTAAAGGATACTATTTATACACAAGTTATTACAGAAGTATAAAATTTTTGTTTTTAATATTTTAACAATAATACATAAATTAATAATAGAATGTTAAAATGATTTCTAATTTGTTTAAGAGTTACAGAATTATCAAAAGAATGATCTACACAACAGTTTTTAATGTTTTCAAATTCCAAATAGAGTACAATTACACTTGAAACCTTCAGAAGACATTCCACTCCATTTTCAAATATCTACAACTAATATTGCAACAAAAATAATATTCTGCACTATAAGGTCTGCTCAGAAAGTATCATTCCACTCTGAATATCTTGGAAATCATACATGTACATTTGACATAATTTAACAAATAATTAGAATGGACTTCACAGAGCATACATGAAGAATACTACACAACTGCTCAATTCAAGAGCAAGGGACTGCTCAGCAAGCACTTGTACTGAATTACCATAATCTTCACAATCACAATGAATAGATCAACAAATCTGCCCAGCCTCTCTTATTGAACATTTATCTATGAAGCTACATCACCTTATTCAAAGGCATGCTCTTTTTAGCTGAACAGTCATAAGCAGAATGTTTTTTTTAATGAAGTCCACTCCAATTTTCTGCCAAATAATGATACATTTAGGCCATTTCCTGAGACATTCAGGGTGCCTCTATATTTTAAGAAGAGACCTCATATTATATTATTATGTCTGGTATATAAAGAATATTCTGTTTTCCAATAAAGTTGGATTGTTCACATAATCGAAATCACAAACCTAAATAAAAGAATAGTAAACATCGTAGAAACAGTGGCTAACTAATAGGGAGAAAAAAATTAGGAGAAGGGGAAACTTTATAATTATTTTCAAATTCTCATTTATTTAATCCCACTTTGAGACAATTTACATCTGTACCAACCTGTGATTATTTAAATAAAATAACTAAATGTTTACATCTGACATAGGGATATATAAAAGCAAATTCTCGCAACCTCATGAAAGAAAAATTGCATACATATTCAAAACTTTTTGTGGATAATAAAGAGCAATGCTTCTTACCTGCCATGTATATAAAGGATATGATATTTTTTTCCTGAGAAAAAAAGTTTTTTTTAATCATATATGTTACTTTAGCTTAGAAATAAAATTCCCAAGATATCAGATATTCTCTTATACCAGTCATAATATACCAGAAGCCTGATTTGTTTTACTCCATTCATTTGTCATAAATTCTAAACATTCAGAAAATAGAAGGAACTTCAGAAATTTATGCTTAAGAACAGTTTCAGAAACAACTTATTTTTTCATGCAGGAAACAAGATCCTTGTGCGCGTCGCAGCAATGCTACCAAGACTACCATTGTCTCCATTTCCATATACAAAAGTCACACTTATGCAAACATTTTCAATTATTTTTCTCACTATTTCACAATTCAAAGAATGCAATGAGAAGATTTTTTAGAAAGTTACACCTCACCTTTTCTTTGAAAAATGGTCCCGTCCATGCTTTTAAACATACCAAAAATTTTTCATGCATTACAAACACTGATGCCTTGGATCAGTTACTTGCAATTTATATAAATCACAATATACGAATAATCGGAAAACTCAAATCAGAAAAATTTCATTTAGGTCTAGCATACTATCCTATGTTTCATATCTTCATTTCTCCCTCATAAAGAAAAATTATTCACATTGATGTGCATTTTAAAAATAAATGATGTACATGACATAGATGAATGTTGATTAAAAGCTAACATACATATTAAAAATTCAAAATTTATTTTTTATAGTCATCCTTACTATAATATCAAATGACTTAAGCAAAAATTTTTAAGTTGTTGCTAAATGATAGAAAGTTAATTTAGAGAAATGTTAAGATGGAAGACATTTAATTTTGAAAATCTTCTCACTGCTAACCAATCACATCATACAGATTGTGGAAGAAAATATTAGGGAAAAGAAATTAATGGATTTAAAAAAAATATATTTCCAGCCATCAAATATACAATTAAATATGCAACATTTAGATTTCAAGCACTGGCTTGTATTGACTAACTACATATTTTACAAAACAAATACAAATATGAGCAATTTATATCTAAAAGAAAGTAACAAAAATAATCTTTAGTTCATAGTACTTTTAACAACTTTTTACTTAATTTTTATAATAAGATGCGTATTATTTTCAGAGATGTTTAGTGTGTTCTTTTTCTAACTTTTTTTTAAAGCTAAAACCAGTGTTTTGCATATAAAAAAGCAAAGTCTATATATAGCTAAAATATGAAAACTTTAATCACTTCAAAGACTCCCCTTTATATTATAAAAATATTGCTTTCATATAAAGTTAATTCTTTATAATAAATCTTTTAAGGTTGTAGCACACAATTTTAACTAAAACATGCAATTCACTGACCCCTATCATGGCTAACAGAGGACTATTCCAATTTTTCCTAATATTTTCAGTAACATTTATTCAAGAAAACAAAAGTAGGAGAATTCAGGGGGGGAGAGGTTATCCTTAACAATAAAGCGCTAAAAATGAACTTTATATAACACTGGCAACAAAATGGCATGCTTATAGAATCTTATTTACTTAGGTACCACTTAATAAAATTTTTAATTTAATAATAATTTAGAGAAATAATTAGCACCCTGAAAAACTCTGTTCACCTCATAAAATAGACCAAGAATGTAAAAAGGGGATTACACAAGATTTCATTCTAAAATTATGACAATTAGATTAACAAGTAAACCAATTATACGAAAAATATGGAAATTAACAGAAAATATATGCTACAGCATTAAAACGTTTTCAAATAACATTAAAAAAGCAATCAGCATTCAAGAAATTATCCAATCAAGTTCTGCAGAATGGGTATCACCTTTAAATAGCCATCAGTGTAAAAATATCTATTTGCACAAAAACACATGACAATGTCAAAGCATATTCAACAGTATCACATATAATTTATGAAATGACTTTTAAAAAGAGCACTCGTAATTATCAGCATTAAGAACTTACATTCTTATTAGGAGAACTATTGCACTGCATAAGCAGCAAATAGCATGATTTACAATTCACTTTTTAGAGAAGTATTTCCAATGCACTAAAAGGTACAAAAAGTTTCCTTTTGAAACAAACCAACACCGCTTAAAAGCAGAACTGAATATAATGCTAGAGTATGTTAAAAAAATGCAATAATTACAAACAAAGACAAGGAATGTATTATCTACAACAATTTCTACTTTGCACACCAAGAAAACACTTCTTTAAGCTTTTGAAACAGCAATATAGTCTTACATGCACACTGCATTAAAAATGGTATTAAAAATTACACACTCAATAACATCTGTAATTATTACTCTACAAATGAAAAATAGTTTAAACTTAGGATGGTGTATGTGTGTGACACAGTTCCAAATCAAACATCTGTCAAATTAAAAGCTAGCTCTTAATAGAAATTAACATTTTTGTCATTATTTTACCTCCATTAAATTAATTTCAGTATCTCCTCTGATTTTTCTTTTCCAAGGCAAAAAATTAAATTAAGAAAATATGTAATGTTTTCTTATTTCTTTAAAAAAAATACATATTGTCATGAAAAAAGCAGATACCCTTTTAAAGTTTCAGTGAATAAACAACTTTACTTAACTAATATTAACATTAAATAGAATTTTTTAGCATTAACAGTCCGAATTTTCTCTAAAAATTTTAATATATTTGAATATTGTTTTACCAAAAATATGCATATTTGTCTATATATGTCTTATTTCTCTATAATGAAAGGCTTAAAGGAACAAAAACTAATTTATTCTAAGATTATATATAACTATTCTAAGATATATATAACTATAGATATATATACTATAGATATATAAAATAAGATTCTATAGATAATATATATTACTAAGATATATAACTAGATATTCTAAAATATGGGTAACTATTGAATTTCTAAATTATATAACTTAGATATTAACTATATTCACTAAGATTTTAAAGTTATGACTTATCCTTTCCAATGCAACTGACTGAACCAGTGCAGTAAAATATATTCTAATGGTAATGATTGGATTGTATTCAACAATTTCACTGATAAAAGTACTTATGTTTCTAAGTAATAAGAAATGAATCCTAGTTTAACAACCCAAAAAAGAATAAGGTTAAAAAAAAAAGAAATCTGTAATTAAGACATTTACAATAACTTGTTATAAGAAAAAATGGAATGAAAAAATAAAAAATAAAAGCTTTAAATATTAATTAATTAAAATAAAAGAACAAAAAAACTTTAAAAGATAAATAAATATATTTGCTAATAAAATGAATAAAATTTCTGTTCAAAAAAAAAAAAAAAAAAAAAAAAAAAAATTAAAATTTTTATTTTTTTTTTTTTTTTTTTTTTGTTATTTAATAGTAAGGAAGAATCAAATAGTGCAATTTTTCAGAAACAAATTTTTAATCTTGATCAGATTAATTCCAACACTCAAAATCCTAATTCTCCAGACAGAATCCTAATCTACACCATGATAATTAATGCATATTTTCATACATATATTTTTAATTATAGTTCCTTTTTTTCTAATAAAGTTAATATTTTGAATTAAAAGAAATCAATATTTTTCATTAAAATTTATTAAAAAACTATAAAAAAATAGTTATTTTACTGATTCTTTCAAGTATTGTGAACAACACAGCAGTATGCTAGCAAGGAATTGGGTAATACATATTATGAAAAAATAAACAATACTCTTGTTTGCCTTCTATACTGATAGCAAAAATTATCCTACGATCAGGAGTGTATTAGAAATGGAGCATCTGAAACTGAATATTTTAAAAATAAAACAAAATTCAAAACAAGACTATGGTATACTTTTACACAATTATAACATTACATGTTGCAGACCATTTCAATTATATATATATATATTTATTTATTTAAAGGAGAGGGGGTTTGATTAGAAATACTTAAATAAGTATTGCCGAAAGAATTCTATTAAAAACACCGACTGTGTAATAATAAAAATACTTTTTTAAATATGAAGTATAAACATGTTAAATTTAACTGAAAATCATATTAATAAAAAGGTTTTAAAAACAATAAATGAAAAGTGATATAATAAACTTACGTCTATATTTCAATTAAAATGTCTACCAGAAACATAAAATAAAAAATCCAGAATAACAAAATTTGCACTATTACCTTAGTCTAGTTCATAAAAATAATCCTTTGTACCACATAATACAAGTTAAATAAAAGCACTGTGCCACACACTGCAAATTGAGTTATAAAATGAATCATTATTGCTGATAAATTTCTTGAAATGAATATTGTGTGTTTACATTCTGTCATATCCCTGAGACATATGAGGTCAACAAAATGCATATGTGAAATATATATAAAGCTGCAGTGCCGATGCTACATTGTCATGTAACACATTCGATACTCTTACTTATACATTTCATTCTGGCTCAGAGATGATACATAATCTATGAAATGTACAAAAAAATACCACAATCTGATCCATAGGCAGCACAACTTTAAACAACAAACAATGCTAACCATTTAAAAAAAAAAAAAAAAAAAAAATCTCCCTTTCAAATGTACAATGTTAGGAGAATTTAAAAAAATGTATGAGGGGAAATTACAATATAACAGCAAACACAGTTAATGATGAATGGACATATAATGCTTTGTTAGTCATACTGTGTATGAAATGTTTTGTTTGTAATGTACATAATAATGTGCTTGAGATGAAAACAACAATCAAGTGGTCTGTTTGTTTAAAACAGCTGGATCTCAAATCCAACATCCCAAGGGCATATTCTGTTGGCCCGCCATATGGAATGTGCAGCATAAGATCCAGAAGTCTTTTCCTGGCAGTTAAGAAACAGTTCAATTAATGGCAGTTACACTTTTAAAATTTCAACAGAAAAATATAAATTTCACTGTGTGCATTCTAGTGCTATTTCTTCTTAGCATGCAACATCTCCATGAGCAAAGTCTGTGTTGGCGCATTGCCACTGAGATGTCGATATAACAAGAAATCTTCTCCCCTTTCACTGATCACATGAATTTCAGGCAATACCTGTAGCAAATGAGAGAATTTATCCTGGAAAAAAGATAAGACAGGATTAAATGATGCTCAAAATTACACTAAAAATAGACACTGAATCAAAACAGAAAATACACCGATAAGCAGATGCAATAAAATTCCAATAACTAGTGACCACTTAATCTGCCAATGCGTATGTTCATTTCTGAATGTAAACTAACAAAATTTTAATTTTGTAAAAATACAGCACAGTAAATTTAATGGTAGTTTTTCTTATATAAATGCAAAAAATTAATCTTTTAAAGCATGTTATCTAATACATTTTGAGTAAGGAAGTTAACTTATTTTAGTATATTAATTAAATTAATAGGATAATAGTAGATTATTAATTTATCCTCAATTTTTCGCTGAATTCCAGCTTAAATGTATCTCATAAGTGTTTTATTTCACACACGCAAGCATGCATATTCACACTGGCAGCAAATAGGAATAGATAACATTAGCACTTCTACAGTTTTTGATGTTAAAAGTGGGAAACATGGTAACAAGGGGCTAAGAAGCAGAGAAATATTCTTTTATTAATCAAGAACTTCAATTCTACTTTTTTTTTTTTTTTTTTTTTGCCGGTTACAAGTAATATTAATCACCTTTTTACATGTTACAAGTAATATTATTAATCTGATGACACTAATGTGAAATATAATGACAGAATTAGCATGGGGTTTCACTTTTGTAATGATATACAAGTAATATTAACCATTTTTTTGCATGTTACAAGTAATATCATTAATCTTATGAGACTAATATGAAATATAACGACAGAATTAGCATGTGGTTTCATGTAATTGTAACGATAGGCATTTCATTAACAGTTTAATTCATTATTTATTCATTTACTGACCAGTTTAAGATTGTAAAAGTATTTTGCTGGTGGATATATATAATTTTGAAATACATAATGTTCAACCCTTGAGTGGCTATTCAGGAATCTTCAAAACCGATGCTGAGTTGATTGACTTTTTATTTGAGTCTGTCACCTCTGGGCCAAATGCAAGATATTTATCTTCCAAATTTAATCATCTGTTATTGATTAACAAACTAAGCTACTTAAAAACAACAGCTCAAATATATTCAAAATATTATTTTTTTGCCTTTTAAACTGATTAGTTAAATGAAAATACATTTAATCCATGATACACCTAATTAAAACAAATAATACTTTTTATAGAATTATGTTATATATTTTTATGATTTTTCAAATATAAAAAATCCATAACATTCCATGAAAGTCTCAATTTATATTTATCTAGTGTCCTACAAAATGTTTCCATATGTTATTCCATCTGGGCTATCTCTATTTATAAACTCTAATGATAAACCACATTAAATTAAAAAAAAACTAAACATATTTTAGAATTTTAGGAACTTTTTTCCTCCAAAAAAATTCAGTAAATGAGAGATTTGCAATGCCATTATAGAGCTCATAATACTATAAACACATATACATTGTTGGCAAAAAAGATGATTTAGGGCCAATAATGGATAAGCATGACATTCCAACACAATCATAAGTTAGTTTAGTTTTAATGTAAATTTGATTAATTCTTGATACGCTGATTTAATTTTTTTAAAAAAGAATGTAAATTGTATTTTTTCCCTTTGCATTTTGAAAAACATAGTAGTATTTGGGATTGCATGAAGTGGAGTATTTTCAAAGTTACAGGATCTAGGCAGAAACAAAAGCTTTGATATGCAAATCTGAAAACAGATAAACAATGATGGTGTAATATGAAAAATTACACATGATTTTTAATTTTTTGTAAACTGTAACCACAATTTGTATCTCTTCATTATCTAACTAAATAATATGTTCTTTTAAACTTCTGTTGAAAAGCTCAGTGATATCTCTACTTAGCGGGATTTCATAATTGGATCAATTGTTTTACTTTTATGTTTATGCCTATGGCTTATACACTGGCTTTTATGTCTAAAATGCAATTAAAAAAATTCAAAATACATAATTTTAGACGTTAGCTTTTGATATCCAAGTTGGTAACAAGTACCATAATTGTTTTATAATTTTAGAATGGAAAATTTCCCCACTTATTTGGCTTTTATGATATGAATTTTGTTTTCATACTTTTAACTATCTGGAATTCAGTACTTCTCAAGCTTTCAGGATAGTCTAAGGTTTTATTGCAGTTTTACATTCAGTAAACTTCACTAGTGTCTAAGGCATGAGTATTATTTTATTAATTACTCGCTAGTTGCAAATAATTCAAATTTAATGTAAAAACTAGGAAAAAAAAAGTATGAAATAATGTACAATCTGCAAATTCTCTAACTTATGCAATGATCCTTCTCAAATTATTATTATTATTATTCTTATCTTACACCCATCTTCGGCATTTCTGCCATTAGTCAATGAGCAACCCAAAAATGATGAAAGTGTAAAAAAAAGCAAGGTTAAAAATTAGCCTTGATAGAGTTGTCTACAATAAACTTAAGGGGAATCAGCTTTGGCCATAAGGGATCCGGCCTTGGCAAGTCTGGCTGTCTGCTCATTTCCAAAAATATAACAATGAGTCGGAATCTACTGAAGGATCATTCTCTTTCTGTTTTCCCTTAGCTCAAGAAGTTTTATTTTACAAGAATGAACCTGGTATTTTCATTATATATAGAACTGGTAAGTGACAAAATAGCAGCTTGTGAATCAATGAAAAGCACACTATTTTGATCCAGGCTTTTTTTAAATTCATCAACTGCATATGCTATAGCTGCTATCTCTCCATCAAAATTGTTACAGTACTTCCCAACAGGGAAGCTAATACTAAAACTACTTGCATAGGCTCCAGCAGCAGCATTTTTTACTGCATTTTCTGCTAAACCATCTGTTTAAACATGGAACAACTAGTCTGGAGGGCACCTGTAATGTACAGTAGCCAGAGCAGCACTTTTTTTTTAACTCATTCAGAGTTGAAAGGTGTTTGTTGACATTCCAAACAAGATCCAGGTGTTTTTGCAGCTTATCTAAATTTAAAATGGGATTTCACTCCTGTGAGAAAATCTGCCAATTGGATGCAGAAGAATATACAGTTGAAAGGAATGATTTAAGAGTCTTCAGTCTTTCACTTGATGGTCTATAGCAATTTAAAAAATTTTCTTTTCTTCTTACAATTTTTACAAGATTCATAGCACTGCTCTGGCACCTTTCACTTAAAGGCTCCAAATCTGTCTATAATTCCATAGCAGTTGATTTTGTGCCACCAGTGATCAATCACAACATGTTTTGCAAAAATATCAACCCTGTTTCTAACAGATCCTAAAGCAGTATTAAAAACTCATTACCATATTCAACAACAGGACGAACATAACTTCTACAGACTGTAAATATAACACCTCTTGTTGGATTTCAAAACAATGTAGTTTGTATTTGGTACTTACTTTCCTTTAATGTTTTACTTAAATAATTTTACAATACTTATTACTTTTACTTTTTGGCCACTAATAATTGTTGTTAGTTTGGTTTCATGAGAATGGCATCAGGGCAATTCATAGAATTAGGAAAATATGTTTCTGTAGTCAGTTAGGCTTATTGAAGATGAATTGTATGTTATATACCTGAGTGATGTTTTATTAAATACTTTAGAATATAGTAGTCTCTTTAGAGTCCTTGATACGCTGGTAGCGTAATAGTTTGACGTGTAAGCGAACACCTCTAATAGAGCCTCAAATGTCATCAACCAGTGGCTGCAACAGTAGCACATGTTCTGCTTATATCTTTATAATTATAATGAAGGTGAATGTCATGGTATTTAGTACTAAAGGGAGAAGAATTGGAAGGTAGTTTTTTTCAATATTTACTATCATATTATTTTCATGAGTTCAGGTTGTTAAGAATATTTAAGGCCTGTTGTAAGACACTCTCCAGGTCAACAAAGTCAGATCCTGTAGGACTCATCACTATATCATCAGCAAATAACAAAATATTAATACCTGGGACAGATCTAGAAATATTGTTAATTAAATCATTTGTCATAACATTAATAAGAATGGGACTCATTACTGCTCCCTGAGGTAAATCTTGATTTATTTGTCGATAATAACCCGTCACATTTTGACCATATTTAACAATTATAAATCACTGGTCAATAAAACTTTTAATCCATTTATGTTGCTATAAATTAAGTTAAGTTGCTATAAATGTCACAGAAGGTCAGCTTTACCTTGCTTTCTCTGAAATCCATCCTTTATCTCTTGAAATAAGTGGACTATTTGTTTAGCAGTATATCTATGTGTTCGAAAAGCTTCCTGAATTCAGAAATCACACAAGCTTCGTCCAACATAAACAACAATCTGTCAGCAACCAATCTTTCAGTTAATTTACATATAATGTTTGTAAGAGAGATAACTGTCCAAATTCTACAGACTTGTTAGGTTTGTGAATTAATATTATCATAGCTTTTCTCCAGGCACTTGGCAAAGTTGTTTACTTCAATAATACAAGTTTTGCAGAATCTCCAAGGATAGTAAGGAATTCAGGTAGATCCCATCAAGGCCTGCACTCTTACCTTTCACTTTTCTAAGTTCTAAGACCATTTTTCAGCTCCTCCATAACGAAATCAGTATCGAAAAGCTTTTCAAACCTAGATGTATTTTTGCCTTGTATAGGTTGATTAATTTTTCTTTATTTTAATAGTAGATTTGAAACTACTTATTTTAGCACAGTGCCTACAAAAGGCATTTGAAATGTCTTTATCAGTAGTGAGTTCTTTTGCTACCTATTTTAACCCTCTGAGCACAATGGCCAACTTTATACGGTTATAAATATAACTTCTACATTTTCGTGTTATAAATCTTGAGGATGACCAGATGCACTGAGCCTTAAAAAGCAATCCCCCCCTTTTTTTTTAACTAACTTTTCACATCCAGGACGAACATGTTAACATGTTAGGAAACCATTCATTGAAAGCTATGGCAGTAACCCATGCTTTCTTATTAGCAATGCAATAAATGGGAAGGTTATTTATGTTTATTCCTTTAAATGAGCGTGGTGTTTTTGATTTTTTAATACAGTCAAAAGTCGTTAATTCGGACACCCATAATCCGGAATGATCTATACTCCGGACCTCAACGCTACAAATGTTCTGCGCATGCGTTGTGTTGGCGCATGCGCGTAAGACCTTTATGGCTGCGAATATGCTCGTGCGAGTGCACAAAATACGTTTACGTTTAGTACGTGCGTTTAGTGTATAACGGACGGTATAAGCTAAGCTAAAATTATCTATTTCAGTTAATGTTGCAGATTGCGTTGTTCCTTAATCTTCGAATTGGATCCGGCTTATTTTATAAAAGTAAGCTTGAACTTTCGATTATGTCAAATAGAATTTCTGATATATATTTTTAATAATATGTAAAGGATCTACAAAGCAAAAGTATATTTCGAAGTTCATTAAACAAAAAGTGGAATTGCTGAAAAAAATAGATAAAGGCATATATATCCTTTGTTTATCTAAACTTTAACATTTGTTTTATCTAAACTTTCTTTATCTTTAACGCTGTGGCGGGCGCGCAATGAATTGGAAGTTGATCTGTCAGCAGTATCCTTATCTTCAGGGCAGATGATTTTATTTTATTTGGCTTATAATTCTTTACTAAATGTAGTATTTCATCTCGATGTACTCCGTCTTTAATATGATTTAAATCAAATTCCTCGTCATTATAATTCGCTTCCGATAGCGAAGAAAGTAACAGAGGTTATTGAAAACGAAAAAATTTCGATTGACAAATTAGTCGGTAGACACAGCAATTATAGGAATTGAACAGCGGAACTTTGTAACTGAACAAGAAATTTTGTCTGTTTATAGAATTAAAGAGAATGTATTATCACATAAAGAACAAAGCAACTTAAACAACTTACATTGAAAGAAATGTTTAATAAAGTAAACAAATAAATATTAAGCCTTTCTTTGTAAATTTTGATACCCTTTAGATCATAATTGTTCTTTATTTCATAAATTACGGTTTCATATTTTTAATTTTATAATTTCTGCATGCCATCTTACCAGATTTAAACTGATGATCTATAATCCGGAAAAATCGAAAATCTGGAATCGCCGAAGTCCCGACGAGTCCGGATTAACAACTTTTGACTGTAACCAATGGTTTCATTATACAATCACATGAATCATTGTAACAGAAAAGAATTGTTATATGACTTTTCATTACCTTATTATCACTAGCTGATTTGCAAGCTTTAGCTAAATACATTCTTTCAGGCATTCTCCCCCCCAGAACAATCCGGACTTGTCCGCATTGAAGATCTGACCAGAAGTGTAGGAGTTGGTGGCAATGAGTTCAAGAAATTTTGCTGGATATTATTGTGCTGCATCAAAATCAGCAGATGCACTTCCCCCATTCAATCTTATTATGTAGGGAATGTCTTGGTTTAAATCTCTCAAGCCGACCATGACTTGCAGAAAAAGATATCTTTTTTCATCTGACGAAGTCGACGGTGACTGATTCTTAAGTACATTATAAATCTCTAAAGCCTTATTTATAATAGCATTAGTATCAATTGGAATCTGTTTTTGATTTTGGTTTTTTATCCATGTGACTTATGTCTTTTCCATTATATCATCTCTTACATATGAAATTGTGATTTTACTGCTACAAATTCCAGCTGCTACACTTTTTCTACTAGAGTCTTCAATTTTCTAATTGCCGTCATTGTGGCTTCCATTCATGGAATAAAGCTTAGCAACATCCGCTACTCTTTATTATGTAGGTTATCTAATATTTTAATTTTTGTTTCTTAAGAAATAACTTTTCTTTTTATGATTTTTTTCAAATCTTTTGGCATTATAAAACCTTAAAAAATTTACGTAAATTATAAAAATGCCACAAAAATATAAATGTTGAAAACTTACCAGTAAGCATTCAAATATGTAGATAAAAATGATGTAAGCTTTGCTGCTAAAATACTAATACTGCACTAGTTCACATATACATACTATGGGGATTTCCCATCTTTGTTGTTGCCACAATTGTTACCAAAGGAATGAGACCAGAAAATGACTTCCAAATATAATGTATTTGCGTGTATGCAGCCGAATACACATTTTCGTGAAGTTTTTGAAATATGTTAATTTTTAAACTGTGTAAAACCAAAATCATGCAAATCGAAGGATAGGAGTATTTGTAAATATGAATGAAAAATTTTGGCTTTATAAATACTACAAAAACATATCAGTTTTTGCACATAATTTTATCAAAAAATTTTTAACTTCAGAACTATACCAGTATTAAACCTCTTGTGAACATGTTTTTGAAATGAGTGTATTTAGTTTCCTATTTTGAGAGCCCAGGATTTCAGGAAAAGTCAAATTAATAGGGAATGTCCATTAATGGAAGTGAAACTGTACACAATTTTTTTCTGCTTCAGATTTCATTTATTAATATATTACATACTGGGGCTGAATCTGTAAAACTATTATGACCTCAATACACCACGACTGAATTTACCAAAACAATAAAAATAGTGTTTGATCATTAAAAGAAAAACCCATCCCTCCCCAAAACATATCAGTCCAATGGGTTTTTTAACAGTTTACAGGTAACATATATTTATATTTTGTCTTGATATAATACAGGCACTATAGATGATGCATACATAAACAAAAGTACTCACTGTAATTTGTGGATAGCAACTGACAGTATATTCCATGAGAGCTTGTTGTGTTCTCTCATATGCTTCATGAACAAGCTTCATGTTTGACAAAGTCCGCACTTCTGCTAGAACAAAATAAACATTTTCTAAAGTAGAATAACTTTTACTCATAAACTATTATGTAAGATAATTCATACTACTTCTAAATTAATTAATATGATTGAAGTTCATAATAAAAATATCAATTGTACTTAATTATTGTATGATAATGTTTTCCTAAAGTGAAAATTAGAGCATACGCACACACATACTCTCTGTCTTTCACACATAACTTCATGGGCACCTCTTAAAATACAATCTAATTTTGAAAACCTTGAAACTCAACATAGAAGAAAACTGATTATTTTGAGTCTTCGAAAATTCTTAGCAAAGTACATCTTAAAAAAAAAAAAAAAAAAAAAAAAGAAACACCACCACCCAACTACCTAGAACAGAAAACCATATGGAAGTCAACTGATTTTCCTTTACATAAAGAGGATAATTTCAGGATTATTTGAAAAAGTGGTTATTACAGTCAAAAGTCATTAATTTGGACACCCATAATCCGGACCTCAAAGCTAAAAACTTTCTGCGCATGCGCCGCGTTGCACATGCGCACAGGCGTTTTACGCGTGCGTGTAAGACCTTTACTACTGCGCATATGCGTGTGCGCAAGTGCAGAATACGTTTTCGCCTGCGCGTTTAATGTATAGCGGACGGTGTAAGCTAAAATTATCTAATTATCTATTTCAGTTAATGTTAATGATTGCGTTGTTCCTTAATCTTCGAATTGGATCCCGCTTATTATTTTTTGCAGACTGTAAGAGCAATTTTATAAAAGTAAACTTGAACTTTCGATTATGTCAAATGGAATTTCCGATGCTGGAACTTCCAAAGGATCTACAAAACGAAAGTATGTTTCGATGTCCAACAATACTGCAAAAAATGGATAAAGACATGAAGAATGTGACAGAGAGGTTGGTGAAAACGAAAAAATTTCGATTGACAAGTTAGTCGGTATTCTCGGCACAGCAATTAACGGGACTTGAACAGCGGAACTTTGTAATTGAACAAGAAATTATGTCTGTTTATAGAATTAAAGAGAAAGTATTATCACATAAAACGAAGCAACTTGAACAACTTACATTGAAAGAAATGTTTAATAAAGTAAACAAATAAATATTAAGCTTTTTTTTTTTTTTTTTTGTAAATTTTGATACACTTTAGATCATAATTGTTCTTTATTTCATAAATTACGGTTTCATATTTTTAATTTTAGAATTTCTGCATGCCATCTTACGAGATTTAAACTGATGATCTATAATCCAGAAAAATCAAATACGGAATCGCCGAAGTCCCGACGAGTCCGGATTAATGACTTTTGACTGTATATAGTAACACCCACCACTTTCATAGATATTGCCAAATTTTCAGACAGCTTTAGCCCTAGCATTTTTGTGAGTGTTTTTTTTTTTTTTTTTTTATTATGCTCCAAGTTTGAACGGTTTTTAGAGACAAATCATTATATTTTTTATTTTAAACTGAATTTTAATATATGTACTTGTTGGATTCGCATGCAGTGGAAGAAACTGGAAGTAAACTTCAAGATTAGGGTAATTTTGCATAAAAGTCGCTAAAGGTAATATTCTATATTGTTACGTTTTTCTTTTCTGACACCAGTTGTTACGTTATTTTCTTCCTTCTCCTTCGTACGGGGTTCGTAGATTTGGAGTGAATAACGATGACACCTGATGAAGTATCAAAACACACTTTATTTAGCCAATACTGATCAGGACAGCTCCAAAGTCACGTTTTACAGTCGTCAAAGATCTACTATAAACACACTGACACAATCAGTGACACAGCCTTCAGATTATCAGACTATCACCGTGGAGACAGCTTCACTGCAAAGCACCAGAGTACAGCTCCCGACTCTGCTTGGTTGTTCTCGGACCTCCACGTACTCTCTAGACTCTCCATGCTACAACGATGACACCTGATGAAGTATCAAAACACACTTTATTTAGCCAATACTGATCAGGACAGCTCCAAAGTAACGTTTTACAGTCGTCGAAGATCTACTATAAACACACTGACACAATCAGTGACACAGCCTTCAGATTATCAGGCTATCACCGTGGAGACAGCTTCACTGCAAAGCACCAGAGTACAGCTCCCGACTCTGCTTGGTTGTTCTCGGACCTCCACGTACTCTCTAGACTCTCCATGCTACAACTCGCAATGCACTTGACTCAGCACAGACTAAAATAAAACTCGACGATGCACTAACTCGTGATACACTAAAAGACTCTCTCGATGCACTCGACGACCAACTTGGCGCTAGACTTCAAGACACTTGCTCAATGACTGCCTATCAGCTCGCTAGACGAGGCACACACTCACTTTCAATACTAACTGACTGCAAACCAGCAGGGTTTATATAGCTTTCAGCTTGTGTTCGAGCACCTTGACATTTCATAACAATATTATTCTATTGCTAAAGATAATATTTTATTCCATTCTAATATCCAGCCAAACAAAAGAAAATAAATTCGTATAAAATAAAGAAATAAGTAAGTAGGCTTACTGATTGAGTTTTGAGATAAATACCTAATTAAAAATAAAATATCCATTCAATAAATATTTTGCAATTTTAAGTCATAACTTTTTTTTCTCTTTTGTAAATAATCACCAAAAGATACCAAGGTAAACTTAAATAGCAAAAAAAAAAAAAAAAAAAAAAAAAAAAAAAAAAAAAGAGTTGATTTTATTAAATATTTCCAGTAAATGAAAATTTAACTTATAAAGAAATTTTAATACTAATTTCAATAAATTTCATACCACAGGAACATTCCATTCAATCTGATTAATCAAATATTTTTAATTATCAAAGTTCTACTGTAATTAGTTATATCACTTTTAACTACAACATGGTAACTGAGCATAAATACATGAAATGGAAATATTGATTTTTGGAGTTTCTTTGTCATTTAATCAATAATAAAAAGCAGAGAATAATCTTTGTTTAAGAAAATAATTCAATTTAAATGAGCACAGGTAAACACAAATGACAATTATAATTAGTTATTCACAACTTCTCAATAATTTTACACCTTAAGATGTCTATGTGTTTTTCTTCAGGCTGAAAAGTTTAAAATAACGATAATTATATATACCACTTGTTGTATGTAATACAGATATTTTTTAAGCTCAAAATATTATACAGTACAAAGTCCGAAATCTGGACATTCATTATCTGGAATGATCTAAAATGATCATCAAAACCTCCAACAACATTTTTTCCCGTAGGCTTTACGCATGCGCATTTGATTCCCCCCTCTGCACATAATAAAACATCTGGAGAGTCCCGATTTCTTAATTTCACTTCGACACTAAATAAAATACCTTGTTATTGAAGAAACAATCATTTTAGCATAAATTTGTATAATCAGTAATTTGTTCCGTTACTGCGTATCTGCTAAATGTGTTAAAAAATGTTAACGAGGAAAAATTTACCATATATTTCTTTCCATATGCTAAAAACAGATTTTTTGTATGATACTCATAGACCCAAAGATTACATTTAGGGCTATTTGAATAAAGAATAACTGATTTGTTATTCACATCAACCCAGAACTAGCGCCAGGGCTCATACGACCGCACCAAGTCGCGGAATTTAGAACCCACAGAGACTGCAGCAGGCGGTAAGATATCTAGCGCAGGCCCTCAATAAGGCTTAAGCAGATATGGGAATTTATATATTCAGAACTCTGATAAGCCTTAAGCATGTGCAAGATATAGACATAAGTATAATTAATAAATAAGTAAACTAATGCAATTCAGGCTTAATTGTCTCAGTAAGTGATAGAAGCAAGATAAAATTTAATGGAGCAATTGTTGTTAGTCACCAAGCTCACGATGCAGAGCCAAATATGTATAGTGAAGGATAGCTAAATTTAATGATGAGAGCTGCTAATTTTACGGGTTTTCGGATATCGCAATACAAAGGTGAAATTTTCCAATTAACGGATTCTGTAAAGAAATGTGGAGAAGCAGTAATAAATGAAGATGATATAAAAGAAGTTTTTCATTGTGATGACAATGCTTCTCAATCATCAATCAATTAATGAATGGCAAAATCTGTAGTATGGTTCTAGATCCAGAAAATACTGCTATCAATAGTGAAGAAAATGACAGAGAAGTTATTGAAAACGAGGAAATTTTGATTGGCAAGTTAGTCGGAATTTTCGAAACAGCAGTTACAGGACTTCAACAATGTAATTAAAAAAGAGATTATGTCTGTCTACAAAATTAAAGAGAAAGTATTAGCACATAAAACAAATTAACTTACATTGAAGGAAATGTTTAATAAGGTAAACAAATAATTATTAAGCTTTTTGTAAATTTTGATATCCCTTAGATCATAAATACTTGATTAGTTCATAAATCACGTTTTTAATTTTATAATTTCTACATGCCATCTTACGAGATTTAAACTGATGATGTAATATTCGGAAATATCCCAAATCCGGAATCGCCGAAGTCCCGATGAGTCCGGATTTCAGACTTTGTACTGTAATACATTTTCACGACATAAATTACTGCATTTTATTTGCTTTGAGAATGTGAATGACACACAGTATGAAAACACGTATCAGTTAACTTCATTCATATATGATATTCATACACAGGGGGGTCATAAAAAAACTTCTCCGATATATAGCCCCTAGTGGACTATCTACTCAACTAATCAAAATGAAATTTCAGATATTGTTATTTGAAGGTATACACTCGAGATTGTGATGGTTTAAAACAAATAGAGTTATAGACAGTTACAGTTACAGAGAAAAATTTTTGAAATTTTCAAATACCAACAACTATTTTTTTTTTTTTCCTCCCTGCACAAATTAACGAGCACATTCAAAAACCATAAATGGCACTTGTTACACATATGACATAAACTGACAGCGTAAATATTTGCAAAGAAAAGCACTGCAAAGTACCACTGACAAAATAAGACAGGAACGGGTAAAAAACGTTTTTTTGAATTACACAATTTTTCAATGTGCCCACCTTCGCAAACAAA